CCCCAAAACCCCAAAACCCCAAAACCCCAGCTGTTAAGTGATTGGTTGAATTCAAGGAAGTTAAATTACACTTAAATTAAAAATAGAAGGAAACAAACAAATTAAAGAGTTTTAATAAGTTAATTAGGGTATGGAAAAGAATTTAAAAAAATTCAAAAGTGAAGAAAGGAGTGCAGATAGAGCCGTTTAGAGGTGATTTAAGGGGTTAGAATGCAATTTTATGGGTAGGGGTACTTGGTTATTCGAATTTGTCGTAGTGGAATTTTAAAGCAAATTTTGCATCCTTCTCTTCTAGGAATTTCGTGAGTATTTCTGGGATTTTGTTGAGGGAGTTTAGTTCTTTTTGAGTATGCTGGTATTTGCCGGTCGATCCATTCTTGCTATAAAAACACATCAGAAATGCATAAAACAAAATATATCAAGAAAATATCTCAAATTCTGCTGAATTACTTACACATGAACATCAAGGATTTTGAGATGCAGATCGATCCCAGTTTGTGTGATGAAATCAATAAAGTACTTTAAGCCCTTCAGTAGATGGGAGATTTTATTCTCAAAGTAAATGATGTCCTCTTCAATAAAAATTTTGTTGATTTTATTTCCATACAGTGCATCTACTCGTTCTCCATCTCCCTTATTCCCTCCTATAAAGCCTTAACTAATGTTCATACCGATCATATTGATGAGGTGAATGGTATTTCAATGCTTGATTCTCTCAAAAATATCATGAAGAGTTTTCATAGCAAGATTCTCCTTAAATCTAAGGGAAATCCTATTGCTTACAGTACCCAAAACTTGATCAAAGGAAGATCCTGCTTTAAAAATAGAAGTTATTTGGTCATCAATTAGTAAGTTTTCAAATGGAACCCTGTTGTTCTTGAGGACATGATCTCAAAATAAGTTGATGTTTTCAGATTTACTAGGCATGCTTTCACTGATGTTAGTATTAAACCCAAATCAATTCAACTTAAGTAGCCTAAATCTTGGAAGAGCTAAATTTCTCTCAATAATCTGCTCAATGAAAGGATTTATAATCAAACTCTGTGACAAGGTAACCGGCAAGTCATATTTACTAGGCAGATATGCTTCTTTATCCAAATATCTATAATTAAAGCGAGGCTGCTTACTTTCTCACTAGTTCCATGACTCTCCATCCATCTCCATGAACTAGTTTCTCAAGTTCTTCAAATTCTCCTCTTCTTTGATCGAAGTAATCCTTAGTTTTATTTTCAGAAAAGTCTCATTAGCCACTCCCAGTGTTCTAGGTACCCCAAGAACACCAAGATCTCGAAACAACTGCCTCTCTTAGTCAACAAATCTTTGATCAAAAATGAACAATTTGACGAATAAGTCTCCATTATTATTTTATTAATAAAACTATACATAATTTCTACTATTTCCTTAAAACCTGGGGTTTTGGGGTTTTGGGGTTTTGGGGTTTTGGGGTTTTGGGGTTTTGGGG